CTTTAGATGGCAACAGTTTGTATTTCTAACCACATGAAAAAAAAATCCCATTTACCAGTGAGCAACAGGTGAACTCAGAGGTTTCTGTTTACTTTTGACAGCCATACTCCAGATACTGCAGCCAACTTTTTGATATTGTGTATTATACCCCCAGTAAAGCCTTTATATGCCATTCTCTGCTACCACAGCACTTCAGGCCTTACAGAACAGCATATTCAAGATGTTATGCGCTCTACATCTGTCAGAAGAAAGATCAGAAAGCAGTTTGATCCTAGACCTGTTTCCAAAACACATGTTCATTCCAGCATGGTATTCCGAGACACTTCTACTAACAAGAAGTAGTTCATTCAGAGGAGACCTGCTGACATCAAAATCTAGGACAACATCAAGGAAGTCACTCATGCCAACATATATTCTGAAATGTACACTTACCCGAGTCTCTTTTTTTTCCTCATTACCATCAACCTCATCATCCTAAAAAGAACAAACAAAAGGAAGTGAAGTGATGTTATAGCTGTGATAGTCAGGAAATGAGAGAGGCAAGAGTTTTTGTGGGTCTTTTACTGGACCAACTGCATGGCTGGGATTAATTCAGACAAGCTTTCAGGCATCACAGTACCCTTTTCCTCCTCAGGAAACCCAAGGAAGGCTACTGTGATGCCTGAAAGCTTGTATGAATTTATCTTTTACTGGACCAACTGCATGGTTGGAATAGCACCCACACAAACTCTTGCCTCCCAAAGTGAAACCATTTAGCCTTGAAATCATCTAAATCTGTATAGCAGCAAGATTTATATATCCTAATAGAGTGGTTCTCAACCTTTTTGTACATGAGATACCACTCAGACTGGAAGTACCCCTTGAAAAATGATAGCTATGGTCCCCTGATTGAGAATCAGTGGCCTGATCTTTAAATGGATTAGGGTTTTTCAAAGACAGGAGTTTTCTACACTTAATTTCTAAGCAATTGTGGAAAATATTTGAGGAAGCCTTTACAGGGCTATTTTAATTGTTTCACTATTCAGTGGCAGATTCTCAAACTAGGAGACAGAGGAAAGTACAACAACTCTAAAATGGAGTGCTTAAACTCATTTTAAGCACTCATTATTTGAGTTTGAAGTTTAAGCATAAACTTCAAAAAGAATCATTAACATGAGGACATCTAAAGATTTGTTTAACAAAGCACTTGAATGGCCAAACATTTATCTTTACAGATTTGATATGTAATTTCTGCATTGTGGAATTAAAGTGAAGATGTTTAAGCGTTATTTCAGCTATAATAAGCCAAAAAGTTTTAATATTACAAACATCTACAAATGATGCCTACTGCTTTGCAAACTTTGCTTAGAGCAGTCATTTGAACAGCCACCTGGAAAAAAAAGATCTGAATTGTGTATTCCCAAAAGTAATTAAGAATTACACTGCAGCAGTCTTCTTGGAAAAAAGAGTCTATAGAGGCACAGGAGCCTAACATCTGACAGCATGCCAGTTTTCACCATACATGAATATGAAAAATGTATCCTTGCTTATTACCAGAAGAATATCTTTCTTCAAGTAATAAGTTCCACAGATCTCCTACAACGGTACTTCCGTCCCCAAGCTGCAAGCAGTGTGAACCAGACCTGTCAGTCACCAACACAGGGGAATACACTGCCTCATGAAGTTCCCTCTAGTTGATATAACTTTCACAGCCTGGATAATAACTCAAAGCTACTTCCCTAAATTACATGTGTAAAATACACATCGAAGGAAAAAAATATCTCCTAATGCAGAGGATGGTAAATTTTTACCATAGACAAACCCAAATCAAACATTTTTTTATTTCTGTTTAGAATGATCCATTTATTTCCAAATCTGTGGACGTTATCACTCCAAAGGAAATTTGCAGCTAAGTATGGATAAAAAATGGCTAAAGGCTGAAGAGTTTATAATAGGATTTTCAAAGCAGTGCATCCAAGAGAGCAAAATTCATCCTTTTCATGTGGACATCCAGAAATGAGGTAGGTTATATAAAACTCATCCTCTTCTCTGGGGCACTAAGCCACAGAAAATTCTGCCAAGGCAAAGAAGTTGCACTGCCCAAGACTAAGGGTGTTTATACATGTGCTCTGAGAGCCACTCTAATTCAAGTGCCTGGAGCATCTCGTGCATCGGTGTCCTCACACTGAAAAATGGCGGCAGGGGTTGAAAGTTTGAACATTTAACTAAAGTTCAAACAAGCTTATTACTTGAAGAAAGCTTTAGTTAAAATGCCCCCACTGCCATTTTTCAGTGGAGCTGGAGTCTGCTGGAATGCAGTAATTACCATGCTCCTGCAAACTTAACTCAATTAATCGAGGCTGCTCTGAGGCACCATAATTATAGCACGTTGGAGCAGCCTTGCTGCTTGTGTATAGGTGCCCTAAATGACCAGTAGGCAGAATTTGGCAAGCAAAAAGCTATCCATCAGATCTCAGTACAGGAGATAAAACTACTGCTTAGAGAAGTGCTATTCTGCTCAAAAGCTTTCCTGATACCCTAAGAAAACATTTAAGTGTTGGGATTTGTAAAAGTGTATTGATCCCACTTAGATGGCACTGGAAACTCGAACCATTTTTGGACACAATGCCACCCTCCTGAAGGAATGTACAACTGCTTCACTGATTTACAATGACAGTCAAACTATGGCAGGGGCAGGCAATTATTTTGGGCAGAGGGGCGCTTACTGAGTTTTGGCAAGCCATCAAGGACCGCATGACAGGCAGGGCAGATAAATATTACTTTTCTAAATTTTTTAGGGGCCCCCCAGGCCGCATTTTGCCCACCCCTGAACTATTGGTTCTTCAGCTGGCAATAGAACAAGTTCTATTTGTTGATTTTTTTATTTTTTTTTTTTAAAGGGTGGAGGTGGTAGAAGGTGCACATGAGTTAGCCCAATAACAGATATCACCATAAGAAATCACTGCCTCCCACAACAGTAATCTAGTCATTCAAGTTTTCATTTTAAACCTGTCCTGTCACAAATGGAAGACTGGTCTTTCAATAGCAGACCTCAGAGACCAAGACATCTGAAGAATCAATGATAGGTTGGTCAAACCTATGAATAATGTATTCATAAGCCAAAATGGATAATCATTCTCATCTTTTTCACTGTTACTGCATACAATATAAAGACAAGATGATACATACTATAGAGACCTGGCTCACGTTATGAGATGTCTTTCCTCATTGACATCCCAAGTCCACACAGAAAGAGAGTAGAAGGTGCTGTTCACTGTTTCTAGATGTAGAGCAGCTCATCACAAACCTCAGACTTATGACAACTCTGTAGTGCACAGAGAAATAGGACCAATAGGTTTTCCATAACTGGGAAGAACAGAGGGGTTGACTGTTGTGACCATAAAAAACTTGGAAATTTTCCAGTTGCTGCCTTGGCCCACCCTGTCCTAATATCCAGATTATCGATCCCATTTTCTGCTGCAAGTTGATATGCTTTTCAACCATTTCCATTTTTCCCTCATTCCCAACCAGTGATCTGAAGGTAGAACAGGTCAGATGGGGAAGGATGAGGAAACCAGGAAATCTCTATCAGTGTTGCACTATGCCACAGTGTACAAGGAAATCTAACTGGTCAAGTGTAACTGCAGACTTACCCATAAGTTCACAAAACCTTTCCAGAAAATTTAATACAGAACTACTTGATCATTTGATTTCTAGTTGAACTGCTGAAGTTTAACTTCAAACAATTCCCTTTGTGTGAATAGTTTAGCCAGGCCTATGGGTATCTGTCACTGCTCGTCTTCACTGATTTGTTGCATTGTACACAAGGGCGACGAGCAGGAAATTCAGGCACTTAATTTATTCACGTATTCCTCCTTTGGGTGTTTTATCCCCATAATTCTGCTTTACAGCGTAAATGAGTGCGGCTCAGAAGTCTGACATTTTTCCTGGTGGCTAGTGACCTCCCTGCCCTCAAAGAAACTCTATTTCCTCTCCCCAGCATGAGCCCTTTCTCAATCTCTAAAAGGACAGTGATTATGGGGAGCTTCTCTCTTACAAGGGATTCAGCTGAACTGTGCTTTCTCTACAGAGCTCACTCCTGAACATGAGTAGGAATTCATAAGGGGACTATCAGAGACGGCAGCGAGGGCAAGGAACTGGACCCAAAGGATGCTTACTTCATTCTGATATTAGAAGTGCCTATGCTGTGCACAGCACTTGCTGCAGTTACAGCCTGCAGGAAGCTGGAGGAAGAGGAGACAGCTCAATTCTGCAGCATGAGGCACAGATGCTGGTGTAGATGCCCGAGTCCTTGAGGCCATCTTCTACTTGGCTGGGGTAACCTCTGGCATATCATATACAGCAAGTGACCTGAAATAAGATCTGGAGTCCCTGCCTGCTTTCTTTCATGAAAGAAAACTTGGGAGAAGGGAAGACTTGGAGAACTGCCAACTGCTGGGAAGGTACTTCCCAAGGACAGCATTTCCCAATTGCAAGGTCTGTTTCTGTCCCCACAATGCAAGCAGGCTTAAGTAAATATTATAATGGCTCTGCAGACTTTAGCATGAAGAATATTGGTTTGAGATCTAAAATTCTACAAATCGTATTACCATAGTAAAGGAACCTCTCTCACTGCTAGGCCAGTACTGCAGCATGCTGGACATTAGCTCTCGTCTTATGTGACGCTCATCACATCCTAAATAAAATTAGGCACACTACCAAGAAATTAGTCTTATGCACTGTGCATGCCTGGGCTAGCAATTTTACAGAATGGGCAATTTGGCATGGCACTGAATATATGCCCTCTCTCTGTGTTCAGGCTCTCTTCATTCAGAGAGCGCAGTATGGTGCCAAGACGCATGCTCAGGCCCCGGCCATGCTGTCTACTCCACAAATTTGCCAACTCAAGCAGGAGCAGAGCGGGTGTGGTTTATTCTTGTGGTGCCCAGCTTCACTCAGGAGGCAATGAAGACATATCCTAAGAATCAGTGATGAAAATCTACTCCCTGTGCAAGCGGAAAGCTTAAAAATAAAAGTTACCTTCAACATACTCAACACATTTCACCCTTGGCATAAAGTAAAAAAGGTGCTTTTATCCTGGGACCTTCAATTCAATGTACTAATCTAACAGAATGGAACTGAGACCCAAATGGATTTTGACTTTAAAAATCAGAAAGATATTCAACTTTGAATACTGAAGACCCAGTTTGCCCTTTTCCCCCATCCCCAGGGAGCTCTCACTCACATCTTTTGTCCAGAAAATGATGCCAGTGCCTCTTCGCCTCTCCTTTGGCCGCCGCCTGTCTCGAATTGACTGCTTGTTTGGAGATCTATCATCTAAATCTTGATCTTCACACTCTAGATAAGCAAAGAGACTGCCTTGGTTTGAGATGATTCACAATTCTGTTTTTAATCAAAGTCCTAGTGACATTTTCAAATTAGCTGCAGTTACCTAAAAGACACCTGATAACTTTATATTCCTTTCATTGGATAGATCCTAAAGACCGCACCTCCAGCAGCATAGCTCCCTCAACACCATGCGAGGACATTGGCTAAAAGGGGTTACATTACTTGAAATTCTACCACTGCTTTAGCCACCTCTCTGCTAATCTCCATCTTTACATGTCAGAACTGGATTGCTCTGTAAGTGACCTAGACATCCTGTGTTAGGCATTACATCTACATATACATTAGCTTGATTAGTTCACAGGTCCCCTGTACACCCCCGCCCCAGGCCTAGCTGGAACAGTGCACAATTGAAAACCCAGTGCCTTCTAGATATACACTGAGCCTCTTGACCCTGGTCTACAACATCTGAGTTGTCTTCGTTCTGAAAGGTACATACCATTTTTTTCCATCTCCATGGCTGTGTTTTGGAAGTCTGCTGGGTTCTCAGAGTCAGAGCCTAGAGGTTTGTGTGTCCGAGCCAGGTAAGAAGTTGTATAAAGAAGAGGGGCAGCTGTAGATGGAGATACTGGTGCTGGGGGTTTGTCTGGTTGTATAGGACACCTTAATCGTCGATAGACAGGCTGCAAACAAACAGCCATAAATAAAAAGATTAGCAGAAAGGAAACAAGCCAGTTAAAGTCTATATCTTCTAAATGGGCAACAAAGCTATCTGAAATTTAGTTTTCTTCATTGCTGCTGCATATTTTAAACCATAACCTGCCAGAGAGGATAGATTAGGAAATGGATTTAACGCTGTTTACACCTGAGGGTGGACACAAACAAGAGAAGAGGCTTGGGAAGAGAGGGATTGTTTGTTCATTCCTTTGTACAGGCATCTTCAAGAGCCAGCTTGCAAGTCAATACCATCAGTGTAAAAGAGACTAGAAAGATGCACAGTGAAAGGAAGTTGTTCAGTCAAAAAAGGATGAAGGAGCCAGGACCACTACATGTTAAGATCCACTAGAATAGCATGAATTTATGTCAGGGTTGGAAAGTTACTTCTGGAGAAATTTAAAACAACATTACCCCAGGCATTGTCCTGGGATTGGGTATAGGTCTGCCAAAAGGAAGTGTGCATATTTCATGTTCTGCTCGAACCAATCAAAATGTTCAATATCAATTTTGTTTAAATTCAGGTGGCTTGCTATATGCATAATATATATTAAAGAAGCTGCTGACTTCACGCTTCTTGTGATAGCTGTATTAACAATCATTTGGCAATGTAAAACAAGGGCACAGACCAGTAATAATATTAAACATGGCATACTGAAGTCTTGGTATTTTCAATTCAACCTTTCCCATCAGAATTCAATAACGAGGAATACTGTGACTTCCTTCCTTACACGACTTCCTATTACCACTGAGCTAACTTTGGATGGTTGCTCATTTGCAAATAAGCATTGTCTAGAAGAAGAGAAAGTTGGCCTGGGTTAGAGTTCACCCAAACATAATATCTGTGGAAGATAACATTCCTTTGAGGAGTCCTTCCTTCATCTGTGTCTGCTCTTCACCAGTTACTCAGAACATCTATGGAGAAGCATCAAGGCTCAGCCTCAACTAGATCCTTAGAGAGAGAATGGAGTTGTGGCATCATTCTCCTTCTACTAAAATCTGCATTCAACAATCTTGCAGTTCTCACAATTTTTTTATTTTATGAGATAAAAAATGAAATTTTAAATGAAAACAAGGCAGTAAGTAATTTACAATACAAAAAACAAACAAACCAACTATGTATCATATAACTTTCAAGCACCTAAGTATCTAGATTAATCAGATAATAGCCAATTCTGTCTCCCAGAGACTACTCTTAGTCAATCAACAGAATTCACTTGCTTTCAGCTGGTCCAACCTATTAAAAGAGTCAGCTAGGAAGCATAGAAAGACCACCTCCTCATCTAGGTTTTTGCTCCACCGGGGCCGGGCCTCCACTTGTCTCTCACTTCCGTTCTCAGTTGTTTCAGTGCTTTCAGATTTCTCACTCTGCTGTTCTTGAGCTTGCCGCTCTGCTCGAGATCGGCTGAAAGTTCTTTCTGCCTCCTGAAGATCTGTGAGCGTCACACCCTGGGGAAGGAGTAAAACAACATCATCAAATGAACATTTATAACTAAGTGTTTTCTAAAGACGAGAGGTGCATTCCTTCTTTAATTAACTGCAAATTCTTTGGGGCAGGTACCATGTTTATAGTGTTCAGCACAACAGGTGCTGATATCTCTAGGTCCTACTTTCATCTAGATCAACAGATTAGAATAAATCCATCTTAAAAAAAAATAATAATCTCAATCAATATGTATACTTAGCAACTCAAGATGACCCAAAATTGAGATCCACAACAATGAAACCAATGAGCTGGTTATACTACCAGAAGCCAGACTTACAACCGTAAATTGTATACATCTGGAGATGGTATTTTGGAATTAGTCAATTACCAGGAATACTTATGAGAGCTCACCAGACATGCCAATCATGTGTCTACTATAGCACCATCCAGATATGTTTTTCCTCTATTCAGTCTCCAGTTTATTGCTAATTTGATATTTTGCTCTATTAAACTTAACATACTTTCACTAGCGTTTGTTTGATATATGCCAGTTGAATTGACAATTTCAGTCATCTACTACAGGCTTCACTGTAGGAAGTTACTAAATTCAGACAGGTAGACAACATCCCTCTAAATACAAAGTGCTAAACCACTATGGTGAAACTCTGGTTATAATTCACATGTTTGTCAGACAGACTGAAGCCCCTACTTAATTTATAGACTTCTCAAGATGGGCATTAAAGAGCTATCTACTTAAAAGGAAACCTTGAACACAGATGGATTGCTGGAAAGCCTCTTCCTCTCCTCATTTCTAAGGGTCACTTTTGGACATGGGAACAAATGTTTCATGTTTAGTTTTTAACCTGTATGCACAATGGAAATGAAGTTCATTGTATTGTGGAAGGTGGCACAGCTGCCTGACTGCAGGCTGGAACACAAAGCTAAATGCCTGAGTTGGTCTTTAACAGTCAGGTTTGTTAGCCTTGCAGACATGCTGCAAAGCTCATCTTTTCTCTCTTTATTAAGATTGAAGAGAATATGGGTGAAGTGGATAAATATCATGTAGAAACAGTCCTTGGGTTATGTGCATGCTGAGATTATTAATTTATGAGATGGGCATCCGGAGCACTAGATAGACTCCTGGATTGTACTCAAGGAAATAAAATTGATTCAGCCTACTCCGTGAAACTGCTGAGTCTGATTTCAGCACAGAAAAACATCTGCAATTCCATTTGTCTATTACATTTTCCCAATAACTGAGAAATTGCATGTACATATCTGGACAGTTTGAACCTGGTAACACCCAGGTTAAAGGCTCTTAATGTGGGGACTTATAGGGCAAGTACTAGCACTTGTGCTAACTGTACATGCGCATTATTTTGGAGTTTTGATTGCCCATTAGGATGGTGCAAACCCATCACAATGTGATAAGTTTACACTTCTCAATTATAAGACTAACCAAAAGTAATTAAGTTAAAACTGTTTCATTATTTTGCTTCTTTTTCTTTTCAAATTAAACAAGCAAGGCACATATTGAATTTACTGCCTGTTAGACAGAATCATTCAAAAATAATGAATTAATGTAACATACACATGCATACATGCACTCATGTGCGTGCATGTCTACCGGATGTCTACTTGCAGTATGTTTTGACAGTTAAGTTGTTGTGATCCCCCTGAGTAAAATACAGTATTTTTAAAAATGTATGGTCTTTAGAGAGTTGCTGACCCCTTCAAGTAGCAAGAGGGGGAAACGATATTTGTCCTAGCCAAAGCCAGCTAGTCAAGTCTTCAGCCTGTCATCTCAATTCCCCCTAAGTTTAAAATATATCTATTTTTTTGTTTCCTGTTAAGATCTTTGTGGTGCTGCTGGCTGTCAAATGTCATGCTTCATTTCAGATGTTATATATTTCAGCAGATTAAGTGAGCTTTGTGTATCACATGCGTGTCACTAAGGCCCTTGGCACACATTCATTTAATGGCATAATTGGATCTGATCCTAAATCCAAATAATCATGCCTCCTGCTATGCCACATGTGTGCGCCAGATGGCATGATTTTGGGATCAGGGATTAGAGCTCAACTGCGCCAGTACTATCATCCCAGGCTCTTTTTGCACTGGGAAGTTTAAGGCTGGTGTCACAGTGTAGAGGAGCTGACGGTCAGGTGATTCTTGGCTCCAACATTGGACAGTCCTAGGTCTGGCTCAACCAGCGTTGTTAGGGTAGACAATCATCTGATCATACAAACCCTGCTGGATTGTGGAAACCCAGCTCTGGCCAGGCTGCTGGATGCAGGGGGAATCAGAGGGTCCCAGCAGAGGATGCTGATGGGCTTCCTCCACTAGGGACTTTAAACACTGTGCCTACAGCTCTGACTTCCATTGCCTCTCATCCACCATGCCCAGCAGCCCAGCCAGGTGCAAAGTTTTAGAGCCCCAGTGGGGAAACTCTTTAGCACCCCTGGCTGGGAGCCTCTGATACCCCATGCTTGGCCAGAGATGTTGGGCTTGCAGTTTAAAGTCCCCTTCAGCTCCTCCCCATACCTCTTCCACCAGCCTTTACCTCCCTCCACTTTCATATTCACATTTGATAGAATAGTACCAAGACAGAATGGCCAGGAAAGACCACGGGAAGAATTAGTTGGACAAACTGGGTTAGAAGCAAAATAAGGAGTCTACAGGCAAGGCGGACCCCAAGTCTAAGAGAATGTTTCTTAAACTATGCTCAATCTCTTGATGTAAACAGTGAACAAAGGGAAACAGAGCCCCGAGCCTTTTTCAGGAAAGGCAGAAAACAATCAAACAAACAAAGAAAAATGCTATTCGAGTTTAAAGACTTCTTAGAGCCTACATCTATGGGTCTAATTTCATGTCTTTTGGAGCCACTAACCAAATCATCTCCCTTTTCCCCAGATACAATTTGCAAATATGTGAGGATACCACAGCACCAAGATATCATAAAAGGAAGGGAGCTCTCTTGCCTGCAACCTGAATGCAAGGTCAGCAGGAAAATCATTCCTCACCTGTGTAGACCTGCGCGTCTGTCGGGCCTGTCTGGATCGTGCCTTCCTTAGAGACTCAGCTTCCTCATCCCGCACAGGGGTCAGATATGACCTGAAAAGAACAGGTCAGGAAAGCATAAAACAATAGAAGATTGACCTAGTTTTGCCCAACTCACAGCAACAGTTTCTACCCCTTATCATATAGACTGAGCCATTTTTGCCTAGTCTGTGCAGTCTCTCTCACTTCTGTTTAGGGGACATGGCATCTTATGACCATACTAGTACACAACCAATTGCTGCAGTGTTGCAGCTCACTCATTCACCAGAGTACCTTCAAGAAAAATGTCCAAGTGTTACCTGCTAGACATGTTATACTCTAGTATAAATAATGTCTATACAAAAGTATAACCTACATACAATAACAGACTCCAGTTAGACCTACTGCCTACAACTTCTGGTGCATAAACTAAAACAAACAAGAAAGTTTGTAGTTCCATTCAGATCAAGTGCGCAGACATAAATCCTGCTTTTCTATATTCCTCATAACCTACATCTTACATTTTTCTTCAGGACTAAAAGCTGTGTGCAATATGTACAGATGATTAAGTGAAAATACCATTGTTATCAGTGTGAAATCATTTGTTATAAAGTTACCCTTGCTGACTTTCTGTAAGGATAGAATTGCCCACAGTAAAGTGTCCATAAAAATACTGCAGAAATTCTTGTAAATGTTGAAGTAAAATCCCTCCCAACTCATGTTGAATGGTAACACTTCATACAACAATACTAAGATGTGGACCAAACTGTCACTAGATTTCACTGAACCAAAAAGGATTTTAAAAAATGGACATTTATATGAAAACACATGCAAGAGATAACTAAGAAATTCAAGAGAACAATAATAAAACCTGTGCATCAGACCATAAACCAGCTACAAAGCCCTGGGTGTTTGGGAAAAGTATCCCCTATAGGTAGGGACCTACTGAATTCACAATTTCCACGAAATTTGGACAATGCCCATTAAATCTCTTGAACCTTCCCCACCCCCGGCAAAAAACCCTACCGAAGATGAAACTCTGGCTCCCAGAGGGAACCAGCAGTCTCTAGCACACCGTGGCAGCCTGCCCAAGGGGGGGTGGGGGGGCTGCCCATTTGAAGGGCTGTCAGCTAGATGGCTGCGCCCCACCCCCCCATGCACACACTCGCTGTGAGGGCTGCCTGTCATGTGGCCCCGCCCCATAACCAGCTGGTGAGGGGTGGGGCTGCATGATTGACAATCCTCAGCTAATCAGAAGCTAGGGGCAGGGCCACATGACAGGAAGCACCCTACAGCCAATCAGCAGTGTGGGGCGGAGCCACCAGGGCCCCTCAGCTAGAGGTGCAGAGGGCCCTGTTCTGCTCCACCTGCAAAAAGGCTGCTTGGGCCTGTATTCTCCTGTGAAATCTAGGGGCAGCCCCTGCGAATTAGGTTGGTCTCTGCCTATAGGCTAGTTACGCCATACTGTCTATCAACGATTTTCTTGCACCTTCTTCTGAAGTACCTGGTGCTAGCCACCAACTCACCTGGCCAGTAAATCTGTGGAAGATATGTCGTATGTATGATATGTCCCAGTCATTAAACATGTCTCCTGACACTGGACATTTCATTCCGAATTGTTGAGAAAAGTAAGTCACAGAGTTAGAGATTTAGTCAGACCACAAAGTGACAAAGTCACAGCTGCACATGCAACCTGAACATTGACCCGCCTTCTTATGTGCAATACATGAAGATACAATCTCAGCAATCAAGTATTTGGGAAATCAACCAGCGTGCATATAATTGCTACAGCCCATGGCCCAAGTAGAGCATCTAATGCTGTGCATAGTACCCAGAAGCTTCTAAAAAATGCAAATACAAAACAGCAGTAAAATATATGTATGCCCTCAGTTTATAGCTGAAGTAGGTTGTTAATTTAGTACCTCATTACTGAAATCAACTGGAGTTATACAGCTAAATACTTCAGGATTTTGAATTCAATGATTAATGTACATACCAGTAAAACACTAATAAAAGAGAAAATCTGAAGCTGACAGTAATCCAGACCATTTCAAAGCAGTTTTAGTTTACAAATAAAGCCATAAAATGTTCCAACATTTGGATCTATAAACACTAGAGAAAAGTGTCATCTTATATTTGACAACTAGGATTTGTTCATGTAACTAAAGATCATGCATATGCAAAAGTAGGTAGATTTTTAAAAGGACACCAGAAGTTGGAATTGCAAGACAAATCTTTTAAAAAACAGCTATACCTCTAGGTATAGACGTATACATTTGTAGTGCAAAAGGGCAATATTTCAAAAGGATGGCAGCTGTTTGGTCAGGGGCTGGTAAAGCATGGCCCACAGGGCAAATCTGGCTCACCAGGTGACTGGATCTGGCCTGCAGCTGCCCCTACAGCACTCCACATAGGGCCATGCCCTACCCGCTTATGCTGGGGCAGGCTGAACCAGGCTCCTGCCAGCCCAGGCCCTAGCCAACGTGGAGCTTCTGGCAGGGATGTTCCCAATGAAGCTGCAGCCAGGTGCTGGTCTGAGCCTTCCACCTCCAGCAGTGGCTCCTGCTTCTAATCTTGCCCTTGCCATGCTACACTGCTCTGGGCGAGCAGTTTCAGCCAGACAGCTCCTTTCCCAGGACACGGGACTCCAGCTTCAGCTCCTGGGCACCTTCCAGGGGAAGACAGCTGGGATCTAGAGCTGGAGCCCTACGCACCCACTGGAAGTGGCACAGCAGGAGGAGGAGCTGCTGCTGAAGGCAGGAGGCACAGAGCAGCACCTGGCCAGCTGCTGTTGCAGCAAGAACAACCTGTCGGAAGCTGCCCCCGTCCCTGCCCCTGCTGTGCTACACCATGCTGTTCCAGGCAGGCAGATGCACAACTTCAGCCAGGCAGCTCCTGTCCTAGTGCCAAGTCCAGCAGCCTTCCTGAGAGCTAGAAGCAGAGCCCAGCATGCTGGGGGAGGGTCCTGGCTGAAGCTGCTCCCCAGGAGCTGCATGGCACAGCATGGTGCTGCAGGGGCAAGATCAGGAGCAGGAACTGCCACTGAAGGTGCAGGGCATGGAGTAGCACCCGGCTGGGCCACAGGAATCAGTAGTAATGCAGCATAGGCTGCCCTGGCACAAGTAAGTGGGGCTCAGTCCCTTGCAGAACACCACAGGGACAGTGTGGACAGCACTGCCCAGAAGAACACTGCTGCATGTGCCAGCCCCCACCCTCCACTCCTCTCCCCCACTCCCCATACCCAAAGCAGGTTCCTGGGACTTAGTGCCCAGCCAGCGCCCCCATCCACAGACACACACATGCACATGCCCCATCCCAGAGGGCAGGGGCATGTGATCCCAGCCTCTCCCACCCTTCCCACTCCTAAACACTGATCTCCACCCACCCACAGCCCCACAGGGAGTTTTGGTGAATTGCTGCGGTGGGAGGAGTGCTGACCCAGCCTACAACAGCTAACCAAAACTCCCTATGTCAGGCTTGTCCAACATGCGGACGCAGGCCACCACCCGGACCACCAAGCCATTTTCTGTGGCCCGCGGTGCTGCAATGGGAACCCCTTGTCCCTCCCCCAGCCCCTCAGCAGCTTCCTAACGGATGCTGAAGGGCTGAGGAAGGGACAAGGTTCCTTCCTACACACACCACATCAGCTTGACATTGCCGACACGGTGCGGCTCCTTCACTCCCCCCTCATTTCACTGTGTCCCTTCCTCGCCCCACCCCACCCTTCCTCATTTGCATGTCAGCTCCTCCCCTCTTCCACATTGCAGGGTTTCTGTTCCTAGCCCTGCCCCTCGCTTCCTCATTTGCACGCCAGCCCCGCCCTGCACTGGTCCCTGCCAGCCGCATGGGCTGGATCAGGTCACGGTACAGCAGGCAGGCAGGCGCAGGGGGCGCGGATGCCGGCACAGAGGGATGCTGCAGCTGGGCCTGTGGGAGATGCTGCTGCCACTGCTGCTGTGGCTGTCAGGGTGGGAAGCCGGCACCGCTCCCGCCTCCCCGTGCCCACAGACATCGTGCTGGGGGTGGCGAGTTGCGGGCCCCTGGAAGGGAGGGACCCCTGCCGCTTGGACTCAGGCTGCCCCAGGGGAGAGGGAGCAAGGGGGTGTCCCTGCACATCCCACACCCCCCTGTAGAGTTCCCACATGTCCCCCTGGCTGCTGAGCCAAGGTGCGCAAGTGTGGGAGCATCCTCGAGGCTGCCCAGGTGGCAGGGAGGACACAGCGGGGTCAGGCGGCACCCCTTGACCCCTACGCCCCCAGGCTGAGGCCACACTGGACAGGCCGCGTGACCGCCCGCTCCTGCCAGCCCACTGGGTGATAAGAAGTTCATGATCCGGCCCCACATTCAAAAAGGTTGGACACCCCTGCCCTACATGGTCCTCAGGCCCAAATAATTGCCCACTACTGTGTTAGGTTCTAATTGCTACTTGCAGACTAGTAACAGGGGTGATACAAACCTAGCAAAATAGCACCAACTTTAACCCTGAATGAATCAGAGTTAAAGTTGAAATGGTTTTGCTACATTTGTATCATTCCCACTTGTCTGCATCTAACAATTGGAACTTAACAGCTGCTGCCCTTTTGAAATGTTCTCCTTTTGACAGGGCTCCAAATCTCCGCATCCATTCCCTGTAATGAGCAGTATTTGGATGTCTCAGCAGTGCCGAGACTTATAAGCAAGAGTCCCCAGGACAGCCTCTGTGTTAATGTTTTTGTGGTACAGTGAGTATTGCATTGTGGGCCTGCGCTCTCAACGAGGATGAAAGGGACCAGAGATTCCTTTTTAAAGTCTTCCCCGGCTCTTCCCCTCCTCCCCCTACCATGATATTAGGTAGACTTCACCCAAGAAAACAAAACAAAACAAAATCCAGGTGCCTCAGTCCTGGGTTTTCTTACATACTTCCTTGCTTTTCAGAAAGTGGAAGTGTATCAGTTTCTGAAAGTCAAACTTTTAGTCGGCCTCACTTTGGGTCCCCCAAGTTCCTAGCTGCTTTCCAAGCTCTTGGCCCTGGTTTGCTTGATTGTATTTCACCACTCCTCCACCCACGATTATCTTAAAAGTATGAGAAGATAATTATTTCTTCAGCTATGACTCAGCCCTGACACTATTATGGCACAACCAAATTCCCAGAGTGAGGCTGACAGGCACAATTAAATGCTTTAAGAGCAGCATGGAGGTGTGTATAGTTTTCAAATTAAATCAGCTAGTAGCACATCTGGTGACAATTCAGTTACGATATTGTTCTACTTCTTGTCAAGTATTATGTTTTTCATGATGGGCTACACGGTTTTATTTTGCATTATCCCTTACAAACAAGCTGTATCCTAAAACACTGCAGCATGTTAAACAGAGGGACAGAAAAATAAAGAGATCTGTAAAGGCAAGGGAGAAAGATTCAATTAAAAGTAAGATGATAAATCCATGCTGCAGATGTACAAATAGACTGTTCCAGAAGGCAGTTATACAAGGAGAGACTGACACCGTGATCAGACTGTGTGAAGAGAGGCAACCAGGGCTAGATAAGGAGAGAAGACAGAGGTTCACAAGGTAGAGTGGGCACTGTTCTTAAAGGATGAAAACTATATTTTGACTATGAAATTGAAGCTCTCTTGAAAATGCAAACATATGGCCCTGCAGATCTCTGAGGAGATGGCCTTATATAAGCTGCAATGGTATATTTAATTTCTGAGGAACGAATAAAAAACCCTGCCTATGGTACTGACTCAAGCAAGCAATTCCACTGAGTATATACCCTTATTGCACGCCTGCTGTGTCTGTCGCTGCCTGACCCACTCTTCAAAGTGAATCCTGTTTTCCCAGAAGGACCAGAACTAGATTAAGCCAGGGAGAACAACCACAAATCTTTGCCCTGACTAAACATAAAGCGCAGACAGAAGTGCAGCTCTCCAGTCTAACTCATGGTGCTTTACAGAAAGTGCCATGAATTAGACTGATCCTTCCAACCCAAGAGAAATTAGCTGTTGGGTCAGAAGGGTGGGTGGGTAGGTGATCGAGCTTCAATTTGGAGCCCATCCAGGGAGAGAGGCTGCATCTCTGCAGCCCCCACCCCCTACCTCCCTTCTGTTTTAGGACGGAAGGGGGAGAAGTCAGGGGAGGGAAGCCTCGGGGAGTGGGGGTGGGCTTCCACTCCAGCGCCAGCTGGGCAGCCCCAAGAGTGAGCTCCCTCTGCTCCCTCCCACCCCCCTCTCATTCTGAAAACAGTGCTGGGAGCAGGGCTGGGTTGCATCTGCCAAGCCCTGCTCCTGGCACATGCAAACAGAAGTTAATGAAGGTGAACCTTCATCTGAACCTTCATGTAATGAGGGTTCAGACTGTGGAGGGATTGGGCCCTTTTAAAACGTTCTGCAACCATGCACTTGTGCTTGGTCACAGCTGTAGATTGTTTTCCAGGGCCAGATCAGGCAGAAATTGTCACTTCTATCTGTGCCCAGGGACCAGAACTAGATTAAGCTGGGGAAGATAACTGGCATCCTCTGCTCTGACTAAACATTAGTTATCCACTTTTAAGGAATACAAAACTGGAACAAGATACACCGCCCCCCCCACCAAAAATAAATTTTAAAAAATTACAGACTCTATGCCAAGCTAGAGGAAGAACTGAACCATTCAATCTAAAGGGTTTTCCCCAAGGTTTGGAATGCAAATGTAAGGGGCTAGATAAAGCTTGATGAGGCAGAAATGCTGCCCAGAAGCACACAGTGAAAGCAGTAAGGATGCCTTTGTAGCATGAACTGAGCAAAAAATAAAAGCTTTTGAATAGAGTCTTATTTGGTAAGAGGCTTGAAACTGTAAGCAACAAAACTCTCCTCTGCTGTTCAATTCCTATTTTAAAAGAATAGGACTTTCAAAAATTCTTTGTAAAGAAACAAGACTGAAAATTAAAACTGAATTAAGTGAAAATTAAATGAAAAGGAATGATGCAAAGAAAGCTTATAAAAGCTACTGCTTAAGAAACTTTACTTAAAAAGTTCTTGCTATCCTGTAACATCACCTACCTTGTCAGCCATTTCTTGGTGCAACCATCAAGGGACAGAATAGCTATGTTGGATTTAGACTGTTTAACTATCAGTAGTTAGGTACCTTTGGCAAAATATTATCATCCGGCCTGACAACATGACAGACTTCTAAAGCTTCCTAAAGTTGCTGAGTTTAAAAAACTATGATAAAGTGCCTTTCACCAAGAG